CCTTCCCCCCCCCCCGCCCCTCCCTCTCCAGACAGAGGGACTTTCGTAAAAGCGAAGTCTGATCAGTGCCCTTCCCTCTCCGAGCCTGCAGGAGCCATACTGGCTGCCAGAACGCAGCTCTGTTGACCTGGCAAGTCAGGGCTTGGTTCTATTAAAGAAGGTGGAACTTTCCTCACAAGTGTGGACATTGGTGGGATTATGGTTCTTGGTTAACCTACTGCCTGGGATTATTTCCTTTTGACTAAACGAGTTTTGAGTAAAGACAGACTCAATAGAGAGAAAAATGGAGGGAGCTCTGAGCACCCATGAGATCTCATGTGTGGTCAAGATGGGCCTCAGGAGAAGGCCTGAGAGTCGGCATGAGGGTCAGAAAACGCATCCCAGATACAGACGTGCACAAACAGATGCTACAAATCAAGAGACAGAAAGTGGATTCGTGGGGGCCAGGGACTGGGGAGCCATGGGGGTGACTGGTAACGAGCACAAGGGTTCTCTGGAGGGGTAATGAAAATGCTCTGGAACTAGATTGTGGTGATGGATGCACAACTCCGTGAATGTATTAAAAACTGTTGAATTGCACAGCTTAAATGAGTGAATGTTACGGTATGTGACTTATATCCCCATAAAGCTCTTATTTAAAAAATTACCATGCACGACTGTGCCAGCAAGGACAAAACCCTCTGGTGGGGAGAAGGGGTTTCAAAGAAGAGCCGGAAGACGGGCCAGCAAAGAAAGTCAAGAGGGCGGAGCAGAGCCGGCGGAAGGACCGTGCCCTGTGTCTGCAGCCAGGGAGCTCTTCAAAGACAAGTGAACTCACAGACCCTCAAAGTCCCGAAATGGGGTGAATGATGTCAGTTCTGAACCATGGCACCCTGCTCCCCCTTGGGGAGGGGAGCTTGGTGGATTGTTGGAGATAGGGGAACACCCAGGCCTGGGGATGCTCACGCTTCCACACACCCGGGATCCGCCGGCCAGAGTGGGGGCTTATGGGGACATCTTGACCCGAGTCCATCTCACAGGTGACCTCCTTATCCCACAGGCCATATGAAGACGGAGGCAGGGCTTAGAGTGATGCGGCCACAGCCGAGTGACGCCTGGAACCACCAGATGCTGGAAGAGACACAGAAGGGTCCTTCCCTAGAACCTCCAGAAGGAGCACAGCCCTGCCAACCCCTTGATTTCAGATGTCTGGCCTCCAGATGGGAGAGAATCCATTTCTGTTGCTGAAGTCACTGAGTTTGTGGGCATCTGTGGGCCCCTCACAGCCTCTGCTGGTGGAGGGGAGAGGGCCTGAGGAGGCATAATCTCTACCCCAGGGAGTTGGGAAATAAAAGAGATGAAAAGACTGCAGATGAAGGAATCAGACCCAGGAAGGTCGGGTGGCTTCTCAAGGCCACGCAGCACGTGGGTGCCACTCCAAATGGGGGGCTTTTAGCTCCTGGAGCAGTTTTTTCCCTGCCATACTGAGTGGCCCCCACTGAGGTTAGAAAGTGAAATTCTCACCACTTTTCTCTCCTGTATGCCTCTCTAGATCCAGCCCTCTAGGTGTTTCTACCAGACCCTCTCGGGGTCACTGCCAGCACAGCCCTTCCTGTGTTTGGGATTGCCAAGGCTCAGGGCCAGACCCATTGCCATCCCCACCCTCCAGCTGGCTTCCTCACTGCCATATTTTTGGCCATAGGGACAGCGCAGCCCAGATTTTACTCACGTGCCCACCATCATTTGACCAACTCTGTCTCTAAGGGTCTAAGTCCAGAGGGAGAATCTGACTGGATGAGCCTCATATGTGAACACACCCTTCCGAAACAGGAAGCCACCTTTGGTCAAATCAGCTTCCGGGGGGGAAGGAGGTGTCCAATGTCTGTTCACTTTGGAAGGAGTGTGGGACACCCATTTGGCAGGGTCACTCTAAGGGCACCCGAGCCCACGGCCTCAGGTGTCACACTTTGTGCACCACCCCCATACACCCAGAAAGGGACTCAGGGAAAAGGATGAGGTGAGGTCAGCCAGAGATCTTGTCTTTGCTATTTGTTC